TTTAAAGTTGTGGATGAGCTTTCCCAAGAGTTACCTAAGCATCCCATCAAACTTTGGCCTTATCCAAAGCTTGAGTAAGCATAACCGTCGATCTCGCCGTCGGCGGCCTCGAGGGTTTTGTCGGTGGGCTTCTGAAGAATTCTGTCCTGTAGTCTCGGGAAAAACTCCCCGCCGGCTGGGTCGAGGGCGCCGTCGGCGGCCTAGTTCAATTCTCGACATTTTGGTCCTTTTCGCTCCAAATTCGCTCATTTTTGCATCTTTTTTGCTCCAATGACCCTAATTCATCATTCATGCAACAAAACATCAAAAATACCTTTCTTTAAAGTGTAATAACATAAAAAATAGTATAAAATAGGTATAACAATCTCAACATATTTTCCTTTGGTCATCTAGTACAATACAAATGGATGTATCCCTTCGAGAGGTTCGACTTCCTGATCTAATGCATTTTATTTCATGTTAAACGACTGCCATAATCAATGTAAAATATCTCTATTTTGCAAATTTTTAAATAAAAAAAAAAATCAAAGGAATTGATATGTGAAGCATACTTGCTGTAAGAGATAATTACTTCCTTCTCCTATTATTTTGAGTAAGGATATCAAATAGGTCATACTATAGGTGACATGCCTTCACAACCAAAATTATTTATATTTCAAATATCTAGGGAGTCATCAGGAAGGCATGGTACACGGTATCTCAGCGATAAAGAGACCTGAGCTGCTACATTGTATGCCCTAATGAATTGCGACAAGTCCATCCATTTATACAATAAGATTCATAATGCCCAAACTCAATAGTGTCATTTATTATTCAGAATGTTATATATATATACTAATTAATTCGAGTATACAAATGACAATGGTGTGAGCAGAATATTTATCAGTAACTTGAACATGAAAGACGAGTCTCAAATAATCATGAAGGTTGAAGCTGAATTTTCGACGTTTGTTGAATTATATGTACGTTGAAACAACTCTTCAAATCACAGGTACACAATATAATCTTCACGTTCAAAGTTAGACTAATTATACCTCTGAAATTATTATAGGTTCACAATGCAAACAATGAAATCACAGATCAGAGATTACTATATCCTGTCTGAGGGCATAATCGTAGCATTCCTACATGGCAGATATTTGATGTAAAGTTGTAGATTCCATACGAGTTTCTTGTGTGAAGAAAAAAAGACATAATTATGGTGTTATTGTTAGGTGAAACATACACGCACAAATAGCAAGAGCTTTTATGACGTACTTGAAGAAGTGATTCAATTTGTAATATCCAGGTTATGTTACACACACATGGTATATTTGTTCAATTGTCAGTCGTTCGATCATGTTCCAAATTAAGGAACACAAACACTTAACTCTTATGATATCATCGAAGTCAAAATGAACAGATGATATTCAAAGTTTGATCTATTTGTTTTGGCACGCCAAACTACCCAAGTTTGCTATGTTTGATACCCTTATAAAGCAAGGGATAAAATTGATTGGGCTGGGGTTATGAAGAATAATCCAAAGAAAACTATTGAGTTGCAAAGTATTATTGAACATATTCACCAAGTAGAAGGTAATGTTAGATTTTTGCATTCAGATCGGAACAAACGATGAAATGTTTGCACTAAAGAATATTACGAGAATTTATGAAGAAATTCCTCATGATATGAATGAGAATGATAATGAGATTGAAGAAGAAATTATAAGTTCATCTTCGACGCGAGTTTGTCTAATGAAACTTAATAAAGACGATATGTAAGATTGGATTAGTGGTCATTGTTTTTTTTTCTTCAATTTTTTTTGTTTTTAAACGTAACTGCAACATGTGTTTCCTTTAATTTTGCACATTCCTGTGTTTATTTTTGCTACTTATGTCTTAGTTCTCCTACTTTTTTTTTTGCATTAGGCATGTTTAACACGGGTATGTTTTGCACCTTCCTGTATTTACTATTGTATACTTATGATTTTTTTTGCTACCAGTACTAAATTTATTAATATTTTTATCTAATTAGAGATGACCACATGCAGTGCAGGTAGTCAGCCACGTAAGAAAACTAGTGTTTTTGGAACCTTAGGGACCACCTACCAGAGCAGGAAAAGGGAGGGAACGGTGGGAGGGGGGGGTGGTCATTTTCTTCCTAACCTGCCCACGACTTGCAGCTGCGACACCTTTTGTTCCACTTACTGCGGCGCTTACTGCAACACCCCCACTTCCTCCCGCACCACTTGCAACCCTGCTTACTACAACACCTTCTCCTGTACCACCTCCAGCTCGAGCTCCAGCTGCCTCCTCAAATGAGCCTAGCCCTCGAATGAGCCTAGCCCTCGACTCTCGCCCCAATGAGGGTACATTTACTGTCAAAAGGGTGCTCGTAAGTTACCTTTAACATTAGAATATGTTCATTATTCATTTTATGTATTTTTGTGTAAATAATTTTTCTTAAGCAAATTCATTCCCCAAAAGATGATTGTGACCTCCATCATGTCTACCTTCCGAAGCAGGTACGCTCATCTGTATCTCTCTTAGAAGCAGATTCCTACTTTCACTCGGGCCATTTGGTTTAGGGAATTCGAGGTAGGATCATGCAATTTGAATTAGAATTGTAAATTTAATTTATTTTGTTATAGTAACAAACTTGAATTATTTTTTTACGTTATAGAGCTGCTTCACCTGTTTGTTAGAGCACCATCACCAGATTCACCAAATCTTTGAGATTCAGGGCAAGCCTTGGCCTGCCTGGATCGGTGAGGAGCTCTGGGCTCAATTGACCGCAGCCCGAGCTTTTCTCGATTATGAGAGGAAGAGACGAAGCATGTGACCGAGGGTACCGAAGGAGTCGTGCTCTATATTGGAAGATCGCTCCCCCATACAAAAAACTACAGAAGGCTGGTAAGATTTTTATAAATATTTAAAAATTCAATGTTTAATGTAACTATATTGTACTAACCAATCTCCCATGCTACATAGGCCAATGAGTTGAGTCGTGAGCCATCTGTTGTGGAGTTCCAAGTCCGAACCCATCAAGACCCGGGGACGCAGAAGTGAATCTCCAAGCACTCCCGACAGGTTGTTGTAAGTAAAAAAATATTTTTTTAAAAATTTATTTCAACTCTTACTATTCAAAGTGACATTTAAACATTGATTTTAATTATGTATGAGGAGTTTGAGCAACTTCTGAAGAGGCACATGACCTCTCAGCCCTAGACTTCCACTGGCAGCAGTGGTAGCCATTCTATTGATGTGCAGTCTAAGTTCGAGCTATGGACGCGAAAGAAAAAGGGAAGGGTCTATGACCTCGATGCGAAGGGTGTAGCCTTCGAGGCTAAGATCTCTCGTGCTCCATTGAGTTCCCGAGCTCGTCACAACATACTATGATACTCTTGCTAGGCAAGTTGCTGTTATGAACGAAAAGCTCCGTCATATGTGTGATCAAATTCTTCAGAGCCAGCATAGGGTCGAGGATTCCATAACACGCACGTTAGAGAGTAGAAGATTGTTGGGGCAAGCATTTGATGACGTCTGTAACTATGAGAAGGAGAATGGAGATGAGTAGGTTTTTTTATGTTTTTTATTTTTTTATTTTTCAGCATTCCTTTGAACTTCTGTGATGAATTTTTTTCTTAAATTTTATTGTTGAGTTTTGGGACCACTTGTAACATTATTTTACTGTTCATTATCAGTATTTGCTTTGAGCTATAATATGTGTTGTTGTAATACATTATTATGTTGTGATATATATTGTTTGTTGTGTGTAGGTTGTACAAATATAATCGTTCTTTTTTGTTATAGTTTTAAGTTAGATTTGTCTCATATTCTAACGTGCATACACAATTATTTTTCGTCTTCAATATTTTCTGCAACAGATTTGCTGGCCATCATATGCAAAAACTTCACGTTTTTTGGAACACATTCAAACGTACGTACAATCTCAATAGTAACCAACACAAATAAGACATAAATCCTATGCAAAACAAAAACTATGTTGAACTGGTTTTGACATAAATTACATTATCGACCATCGATTTACTAGTGAAAAAAAACAGACATAAAATAGATGCAAATCTGACTATAAGTTCGTATTATCGTCGGATTTGTGTTTGAGATATCTGACATAAGCTTGTTTAATTTTTGTAACGTGTGGCTTCTTCAGGTGGGCGGATCAGTTCGATGATTTCAACATCGATATTGATCAAACGTAAAGTTCATTGAAGCAGAAATTATTTCGTGAAATTAATCATTTGCATTTTAAATTCAACATTATAATACTATTAATTATTATTTTAATAATTTAATTTTTAATTTTAATTGTTTTTCCTACTCTTTAATGAGGTCTCATATTTATTATGCAATACCTAAACTAAATATATGTTTTCATGCATAAAATATGCAACCAAAACTGACTTTAACGACACAATAGTACAGGGGCTAAAATATCTTTTGATCATTAACATCTATAAGACAACTGTTGCACAATTGCACAAAAGAAACAAACACACAGTCTCCCCACGCCAATAACTTTTACGTAACAGCTTTTTAATAAATTCTTGCAGCCCCAAATAGACACTTAGTATCATCAACCCACGATCGAATATACTCTTAACTCGTTTGGCTAGGGTTTTTCATTACTACATATCAAGCACCAACATGTAGCATGTGTTTCACTGTATATATTCTGCCAATCGATATAGAGTCCTCAATGTTTTGCCTCCTTTAGCTGCAACACATCCATCCATCCTATTTAATGTACATGCACTTAGGATGACCAAGGGTGGTTTTCGGGTCAAAGAAGCTAAGAAAATCTCCCCACTTAATCTCTCTATAGAGCCAAATAAAATCTCAAAATAATCCAAAACAATTTGCAAATTTAATCCCATAACTATCATATTTTTTCAACTCTATCCCTCACCTATACCAAAATTTATCTAAAATGATTCCTCAAGGACTGAATCAAAACCAACATTATAAAATCAAGAATCAAATTGGGATCAATTGAATAATGCGAACCTCACGACACGAAAATGTGCATAGCAATATGCTTAATCTAGAGCACACATTAAATTAGATCACATGAGTACAAATACAAACTGCATGGAGCTATATATATATATATATACATATATATATATAGTATATGACTATAATTTGGACTTTGACACGCAATCTGAAGATAGTCAATCAGCCTTTCCCTTTTGACCACCAATCTCCTGCAGGTAATGTTCAGCATCCAAGGCAGCCATGCACCCTGGAGGCCGAAAAAGAATAATAATAGGTGGACTCTGTTAGTTTTATACAAAAAAAGAGATTTAGATATATACCACATAACTCTTTACATATTTACATATCTAGCACTTACGAGTTAGATATTTACATTTATAACAGTTTCGCGTTATAAACCTATGCGTGAAAAAGTGTATTTAACTTTAAAAAAAATTAGTAATAGTGGCATTTTAATGTGATGATAGTAATTTGAGTGCTAGATATGTAAATATACAAGATTTGTGTGGTATGCATGTAAATGCCCCATAAGAACAAACATTGCCATGAAACACCATTTTACTATCATTAGTACTAGTATTTACTAAACCAAATGATTTGTGATTACTGCAACTGCTGGTCTCCAAAACAGACAATAAGGTGCCGCAAAGCATTTTTAGTGAGGTAGGATGTATCCAAGGTGAATCCCACAAGAAGATGTTATGTGAATATGAAGAATCATGAATTCTGGACCAACAAACAAAATGAAAGCGAGGAGCATGAGGAAAATCCCAAGGGCTTTAAAGAACGAGTGAAGACGCTCGAGTGCTCTTCAAATTTAAAAATTCAAATGCAAACATGGAGCGACATAGCGTTAACTTCTGTAACAGCCGTGAATGAAACCTACTACAGAGCAACGAGAAAGAATCCACTCCTCATCTCTGAAAACCTGAGAAGTGAAAATCCCAACTGATAAACATGTGTGGAAAGATTGTGGAAGCAAAGACTGCGGCGAAGTTCCTAAACCCTTATTTGCAATCCTACAGGAATGGGATCACATTAAGCATTCTGCCTGCAATCACTTCCCTGCTAGAAGTCAATGAAACCCTAAAATAATGTCCATTTTTAGCAACATTTAAAGAATCACCCATTTGACTTGACGGTTCTCACAACTCTTGCGGGAGACTTAACTCTGTCAGGTTCAGAAAAGTATTCAGCCAATTCTCCAACACCAAAAAAAAAAAACCATTGAAAAACTTATAAGCCTTGCTGAAGATGAGACAAAAGCATATGGAATCACTACGAAACTTCATTGTAAGGCTTTGTTGGTTTGGAAAACTGAGCCAAATACTTTTATTGATATAAAATATTGGCTTAAATACAACTTACTAGAGTCCTAAACTTAGGAAAGAAATAACACCTATATCTCCTAAACTTGATTAAGAATCCTAAACTTAGGAAAGAAATAACGCCCATATCTCCAAGATTACAAAAATAATATCAAATATACTAAAAATAGAAACTCCTATAACTAGCCGGAAAATAAAAAGAAATACATAAATAAGAAATAACAAGAAATAAATAAAATCCAATATAACTTATATCACTCTCCATCAGTTTAAGCATAGATGTCAATCATGTTTAACTATAACTTAAAATCATCAAACAACGGGCGAGGAAGATTCTTTGTGAGAATATCGGTCAGGTGACAAAAGGATGGGACAAATGAAACACAAATCTCCCAAAGATTAAGTTTATCCTTGATAAAATGACATTCAATCTCGAAATGTTTGGTACGATCATGTTGGACCGGATTCAGAGTAATGTTGGCGGGTTTATTGTCACCAAAAAACCGTAGAGGAATAATGGTTGGCGTACGTAACTCATGGAGCATGATGCGCAACTAGAAGACTTCACACACACCCAAAGAGCAAAACTTAGCTTAAGCACCACAACGGGTTGTTTTTTATTATTTCAAATGACAAAGTTTCCCCCAAATGAAGAAGTAATATACCGGGGTAGATCGTCGATCATGGGCGGACCTGGCCCAATCAGCATCCGTATAAACTACAACAAAAAGAGAGGTGTAACGAGTGAACAACAAACCCGAGCCTGGTGTGTCTTTTAGGTAGTGGAGGATCCGATGGATGGCGATGAGATGATGCTCGTAGGGGTCATGCATAAACTGATTTACGACCCTAACTGTGTGACAAATGTCGAACCAGTACGAGCAAGGTAAATAAGCTTACCCACAAGAAGTTGGTAGGGGTTTTTGTTCACTAGAAGGACATTAGGAACTTCAAACAATTTCTCATTAGAGTCAATCGGGAACCGACTTGCAAAGAAGTAGATTAGTCTCAGTCAATAAATCCATCAGATATTTGCGCTTGGGAAAGGCAAATGCCCGGAGAGGACCGAGCTACTTCCATGCCGAAGAATTACTGAAGGGAACCTAGGTCTTTCATCTCAAATGACATGGCGAGGATGGTTTTAAGAGATTTCAAGGCTGGCAAGTCGTTATCCGTGAGCACGATGTCGTCAACATAGACAATGAGGATGGCAAACAGTCACCAAACAAATGGTGAAAAAATAGCGTATGATCAGATTGGGCCTGAGAAAAACCACGACTCACTATAACTTGTGTAAACTTGTTGGACCGGGCCGATGGGGATTGTTTCAGTTCATTGAGGGACTTCCGCAATTGACACACTTGTCCATGAGAAGAAGTCGCCCGATGGGAGAGAGATATTAACCTCCTCAGCGAGATCGCCATTAAGAAAAGCATTCTGAACATCCAACTGAAGTAAGGCTCGATCCAGACTCACGACTAGGGATAATTAAACCCGAACAGTATTTAGTTTAGCAACCTGAGCAAACTTTTGTTCATATAGTCAATACCATAAGTTTGTGAATATCCTTTGGAGACCAACCACACCTTGTTGCATTCAAAGGAAACACCATAGTTAAATTTGGTGTTGAAAATTCACCTATAACCCACCACTTTCTTTCCCAAGGGGAGATCAACCACGTCTCAAGTATGGTTGCACCAAAGTGCATTAATCTCATGCATGGCAACAACCTTCTAGGATGAGTCAGCCAAAGTCGTCTCAATAGTGGATGAGAGACAACGATCAACCAAGGATGTGGCAAGTGCTTTGTAGGACACAGATAAGAAATGGAACGAGACATATTTCGCCATGGGAAAAGAGGGTAAAGTGTCATGGTCGTACCTGTTTGTGTAACTCAATAGAAAGATTCAAATTTTCACTCGGAATAGGAGTGACGCCCCGTAAGTTGAGAGAGCATTGTACGGGGACGTTGGACAAAGCTGCCACAACCTAGCCATATAGCTTGGAATTAACCAAGTCAGAAACAGCAGTCGAACGCCATTAACATTTAATTACATTTCCTTAGATTTAAAACTTTTAATTTGTAAAAGAACCACTAATAATTCACAAAATACAATAAAAACAAAACATCCAGAAATAACAAAATCTAAAGACAACATCTCAAACTAATACAAAGCAGTATAACACTATCTGAAAGAAACAATACAAGGAAACTACGATCATAAATACCTAAAAACAGTGGTATTCCTGTAAACAGTCTCTCCTATCTAACATATCAACCTATAAATTTTTTTTTCTTGAAAAAAAATATTAATTGTAGCAATAAATTTAACTTAATGAAAAATTATAATCTTATATGCATTAAATTATCATACTAATTCTATGAATGAATAACCAAAGGAAAATGCATTTTATTTCTTTATAAAACTTTAAAATAATGTTAAATTTATCCTTCCGTTTCACTTTAACTATATACCGTTTTTAACCTCTTTAAGAGGCATAACAAGATTATTGTCATATCCGAAGATATCCTAAAAAATATACCCGAATGTACCCTAAAAATGTACTCGAATGCACCCTAAAACATGTACCCAAATGTATCCTAAAAAATATACCTAAAGGTACCCTTAAATTGCACCCGAAGATACCACTTTACTATTTTCTACAAATTGCATTGGTACATCGCATCCCCTGTCATTATCATTTGGAGGTAACCTTGTATGACTTAAACTTTTATATTTCATTTCCTTTAAATTACCACTTTTTTAGAAACATTAAACATTCATTTTTACCTTTTTCCCATTTCATTTCCATAACATATAACTATAGAATAATTGTTTACAATATTACAAAAAAATTTTAGTAAATAAATATTAATTTAATACATATAAGAAAATAATTAATCACTTTTGCTCTCAAGATACCTCTGAAATATCCATCACTTCCCTTCACTTTCTTTAACTAACGCCTAAATCAATTAAATATACATTTAGTTATAAGGATTTCATTCTAACAGAAAGGTGTACATATAGCTAATGACAAATAAATATATTAACACCTATAAACCAATAAGCAATTCCTTTACGTTAAAAGATTTGGTTTGCTTCTTTTGCAAAACTCCACTTTTCTCTTACAACTCTAAGAGATTCACCACTAACCTTCTATCTTTATATCTGGTTAAATTTAACCTGTTATTAGCATTTAGCAAGTAAACTAATATTTTTTCATTCAAGTAATTAATATCATACAATCTTAAATACTTGTAAGATTCAATTCTTACCATTCCCATAAAAGGCTTAAATTGCACACGAGCCGTCTCCCGTCTCCTTCACATCAAATTCATCGACTTACAATATCTGATTTAAATTCATAAACCATAAATGTTAATATATAATCTATTTGACTAATTACATTTATATATTTTAAAACTTAAACCAAATCAATTAAATTTTATTTAACTTAAATTAAAACTTACATTTTTACCTTACATATACTCGGTCGACTGCCCTATCTCATGCACGAAAGGCTTCGCAGAGAGCCTTCCCTTTCTCCTCTTCTTCAGTCCCAACTCGACCCGATAGAGCAGCGCAAAGGGTCGGTCGCGACTTATTCTACATGAGAAGACGACACAACTCCTTTCACCTTTGATCGTTGATCTTCCCGAAAGGATTCTTTCGCACGGCTCAATCCTCATCCCCACAAGGTAGTGCAAACTCCTCCTTCGCATAGAACCAACAAACAAAACTGCGGCTTTCTCCTCTTTGGTTGCGATTCAATCCAGGTAAGCCCTCGGTATCTTTTCTTCTCTCCTCTTCCTCCACAAGTATAGCGTTGAGCCGCTCAACTTCCTTCCACTCCCACAATAGGGATTTCCCTCTCGATCGCTCTGCTCTCCCTCTAGTTCGCTTGCTTGTTTCGA